CAGTGCCAATGATTTGGAGAGAGCCAACAGATCATACCAGCAATTGATAATTCTGCATGGTGCCTTCAGCTGGGAAAGGCGTGGCAAAGAAGAAAAAGTGGACTGTGCACTATCCAAACATTCTATCAGCTATACGCCCACGGAGAAGGACTGCCGGTTCCTGATGCACCAGAATCATTCTCACTTGAGTCAGATGAAACTTCTGATCCTGAACCATCAATGTCACAGGACCCACAGATCATCCTCCTCTGAATCACACCTCATAACACAAGGTGAACTGAATGACCTTGTCAGGGATTTGGAACTACCCAAGAGTAAGGCAGAGCTGTTGGGCTCCAGACTACAGCAGTGGAATCTCCTGGCAGGTGATGTTAGGGTTTCCATGTTCCGTGACCGTCAAAAGGATCTTGTCCCATTCTTCTTCATGGAAGGTGATCTTGTAGCCTGCAACAACATCGATGGTGTGATGGCAGCCCTCAACGTCGTTCACGATCCAGATTAGTGGAGACTGTTCATTGATTCATCGAAGACGAGTCTTAAAGCTGTTTTACTGCATAATGGCAATGTTTTGCCATCAATTCCAGTTGGTCATGCAGTCCATATGAAGGAAACCTATGACAACATGAAACAACTTTTGAGGTGCATAAACTATGACCAACATCAGTGGCAGCTTTGTGGCGATTTGAAGGTTGTTGCTCTCTTGCGTGGTCTGCAGACTGGATACACAAAGTACTGCTGTTTTCTCTGCGAATGGGACAGTCGTGCAAGAGATTCCCACTACATCAAGAAAGATTGGCCACTCCGGCAGTCATTGGAGCCTTGGAGGTTCAGCATCCACCATTGTTAAATCAAGGAAGATTTTGTTACCACCCGTACACATCAAGCTGGATCTGATGAAGAACTTTGTCAAGGCCATTGACAAAACACAAGCAGCTTTCAAGTACCTCCGTGGAAATTTTCCACGGTTAAGTGAAGCTAAGATAACAGAAGGTGTCTTTGTTGGTCCTCAGATTCGTGAACTTCTTCGAGATGATGCATTTGACCATGCACTGCGTGGCAAGGAAAAGATGGCATGGAAAGCCTTCCAGTTAGTGTCCAATAAATTT